CTCAGAGCCTGGAGCCTGCTTCGGATTCTGTGTCTGTCTCTCTGTCCCTCCCCCTGCTCACTCTCTGTCTCTCAAAAATAAATAAACATAAAAAAAGAAGGAAGAAAATAACTACTTAATAAATGCTTATTTACTTAAAAATTCTAAAATCGACATTAGATTTACTTTACGCACGTGAACATTAAGGAATCAGCCTGCAAACTGATCAATCACATGGACAAGGGGATGAACACCATAACAGCAGGTTATCCATCTGTCATGACCTGCCAGAAGGGCTATGTCATGTAGTTACTATTTTCTAAATTGATTATTGAAAGATAATGTAATGACAATATAAAATGGATTTTTTTGAAAAAGAAAGAAAAAATCATGCCTAATCGCACTTCCCTAACATGGCAACTATTTGCCTTTCTCCTACACCCTTCATGTTCTGCTATAATTTTTTTTTTTAGAATGAAAGGTTTGGACTTCAAAACTTAGAAAGTTAGATGCTTTGAACTGGAAGCGATGGCCGTTACAGTGTGGAGCTTTCTCCAAATCAGCCATGGAAGTCTCCGGATGCCAGGAGACCAAATGGGATATCTGGCACAGCAGGCCATTGCTTCCCTGATTCTCTGTGAGAAAGGCGAGCACAGCTCCCACAACCGCTAAATTGCTGTTGGGGTTGTCAAGATCCAACAGGAGGCGGCTTTTTTCCTTGCCTTCAAAGGCTAATGCTACCAGAACAAAATCCAAAACGTTTCCCTCTCTTTCTCTGTTGAAGTAGAAGGGGAGACATTAAAACAAGCAAAAACCTGAGAGGGATTCTTTTTCAGGACATCTGCAACATGGAGTGTGGAAATTCAGTACTGAACTTTTGAAAATCTGTTGTTTCCAGGAAACTCAGCCACCCCAAGCTGGTGAAATTCTATGGAGTGTGTTCAAAGCGATACCCTATATACATAGTGACTGAATATATAACTAATGGCTGCCTGCTTAATTACCTGAAGAGTCACGGAAAAGGACTTGAAACCTCTCAGCTCTTAGAAATGTGCTATGATGTGTGTGAAGGCATGGCCTTCTTGGAGAGCCACCAGTTCATACACAGGGACTTGGTAAGCAGAGCCACTGGACGCTCAGAGAAAGAAAGCAATCCATGGTCCCCGCCTCCAGCGATGGGGCCATTGGGAAGGGTGACAAGGAGGGCATCCTCACCTTCACTTGGCTCACCTGTGACTTGCTCAAGCACATGACGCTTTTGTAATAAAAGCCACGATTTCTAAATAAAATATTTGCAGTACAGAAAGACTAAAAGAAGCCATCAGGATTTATGTAGCTGTGTGGTGGTGTGGAGGAAGATGGATACAAAGGAAAGAGTTTGGTCAATTTCGTGTTTCTCCGAACCAATTAAATCCAAGTTGACCTTTACTCCAGGGAGGGCTCAGGGCCAAAGCAGTCAATTAAGACCATAACTGAGAAATACAAAACCAGAAGGGAGTGAAATCTGTGTGTCTTTGGGTCAGGGTGGGTTGGGGGACGTTTTGCTTGGTAGGCACTGGTATTTATCTTTAGAGCTCCGCTTGCTCTGAACAGCAAACCTGCCACGCACACTAGGCCGGTACAGCATCTCCGCCTTCAAAGCGCCTGTTGATGCATGGTACCCCTGTGGTGGAGAAGGAACCCCTAGAAATAATTTTTCCCTTCTCGCGGGCGAGCTGCGGTTCTGTGTTTGACGTGTGATACCTTTCATGCCGTTTGACAAGGATGGCTGCTTGACTTAGGGGCGCACATTTTCGTTTTGAAAAATTGCCAAGGACACAAAGACAGAGTCTCAACATTTGGGGTTTTGATAGGCAATCTTAGATTGGGTGAGAACTCTGCTAAAGAGAAGGAAAGTGTTGGATCCTGATGTCGGGAGATTCTTGGCCACTTTAACTGTTTGGTAATTTTGTGTTTTCTCCAAAGGCGGCTCGGAACTGCTTGGTAGACAGTGATCTCTCCGTGAAAGTGTCTGACTTTGGGATGACAAGGTAAGCCAGTTCCAAAGGGGCAAGCAATGAAAGAGGGGTCTCCATTCACACCTAAATGCCATCAGACTTGAAGGCATTGCGGTGATATGGAACGTGCTCTGAATTGGGGGGTTAGAAACCTGGATCTCTTCCCCATACTGCCTCTGACCACCTATGAAACATGTCTCACCTCATTTCTTCACTAGGAAGATATAGTTCTTCTTCAGAAATTACCCAAAGTCCCTTTTCATTCTTTCAAAACTCTAATATTTTTTAACTTCTAAAAAAATTTCATGAAAGGTCCTAAATATTCTAATATAACATGGTATAGCCAGATTATTGGGATGTATATACATGTATACATGTATATATTATGTATATATTTTTTAACTCAATCAAAGCTCCTTTAGGCCTTTCTGATTTTCTCTTAATATTCATTCAAATTGGCATAGCATAGGGGCGCCTGGGTGGCTCAGTCGGTTAAGCATCCACCTTCAGCTCAGGTCATGATCTCGAGGTTCATGAGTTCAAGGCCCACGTTGGGCTCTGTGCCGACAGCTCGGAGCCTAGAGCCTGCTTCAGATTCTGTGTCTCCCTGTCTCTCTGCCCCTCCTCTGCTCACACTCTATCTCCCTCTCAAAAATAAACAAACATTAAAAAAATTTTTAAAAACCCAAACAGGCATAGCATTAACACCAGGAAAATTTTTGTTGGCGTGTCATTAAATTTTCTGTATTACCAAGTAAGGCACGAAAGTAGACTCTGAGATTCTCTTGGTTGGCATTCTATCACCACTTTATGATTTAGATAAATTACTTTTTTTTCTTCAAGTTTCTATTTAAATTCTAGTTAGTATATGTGGTAAAATTGGTTTCAGGTGTAGAATTTGGTGATTCATCACTTACATACAAAACCCGTGCTCATCACAAGTGCCCCCCTTAATCCCCATCATCCATTTAGCCCATGCCCCCACCCACCTCCCCTCCAAAAACCCTGTTTGTTTTCTGTAGTTAGGAGTCTCTTATGGTTTGCTTCCCTCTTTTTTTTTCCTTCCCATATGTTCATCTATTTGTTTTTTAAATTCCACATGAGTGAAATCATATGGTACTTGTCTTTGTCTGACTTATTTCGCTTAACATGATACCCTCTAGTTCCATCCCTGTCGTGGCAAGTGGCAAGATTTCATTCTTTTTCCTGGCCGTGTAACATTCCATTGTGTATATATACCACATCCTCTGTATCCATTCATCAGTTGATGGCCATTTGGGCTCTTTCCACAGTTTGGCTATTGTGGACAGTGTTGCTAGAAACATCAGGGTGCCTGAGCCCCTTCGAATCATCATTTTTGTATCCTTTGGGTAAATACCTAGCAGTGCAATCACTGACTGGGTCATAGGGTAGTTCTATTTTTTTTTAACTTCTCGAGGAACATCCATACTGTTTTCCACTGTGGCTACACCAGTTTGCATTCCTACCAAAGGTGCAAGAGGGTTTCCCTTTCTCTGCATCTTTGCCAATACCCATTGTTTCCTGTGTTAATTTTACCCGTTCTGACTGGTGTGAGGTGATATCTCGTTGTAGTTTTGATTTGTATTTCCCTGATGATAAGTGATGTTGGGCATCTTTTCATGTGTCTGTTAGCCATCTGGATGTCTTCTTTGGAAAATGTCTATTCATGTCTTCTGCCCATTTTTTAAAACTGGATTATTATTAGTTTTTGATGTCGAGTTTGGTAAGTTCTTTATAGATTTGGGATTCTAACCCTTTATCTGATATGTCATTTGCAAATATCTTCTCCCATTCCATAGGTTGCCTTTCCATTTTGTTGTTTCCTTCCCTGTGCAGAAGCTTTTTATGTTGAGGAAGTGCCATGAGTTCATTTTGGAATTAATTATCTTATGATAGCAGTTTAAAAGAGTCTTCCATTTTCTTTATTCTGAATCTTCAGACTATGTGAGCCTCAGAGCCAGTTTCATGGGTTTACATAGGAAACGAATATGTACATGTTGGCCTTTCCATTCAGCGAGCGTTTATTGAGTGCCTGCTAAATGCCAAGGCCTTGTAGGAGATACTGACATAAATGGGATAGTACCTGCCCTCAAAATGGTCATCTTAGTCCTGAGAGCAAGTAGATTTCAAAACTGAGACAAAATACAGCTATAAAGTTGTGTCAATTCGACATAAACTCACATAATTCTGAGGAGGAATACAATTTCAAGGAGGTCTGCAGAGTTCACCAAGGCTAGCTTTATATTTAGCAGACATAGCCCTGAAACACCATAGGACCATCTGAGTTTTGTTTTAAAGTTGTTTTTTTTTTTTTTTTAGTCATCTCTACCCATAGTGTGAGGCTCAAACTCACGAACCCAAGATCAAGAGTCATGTGCTCTACCAACTGAGCCAGCCAGGTGCCCCAGGAGGATCTGTTTTTAAGTCTTCCCTACAATTCAATATTAGGAAGTGCTCCTTTTCTGGGACCCTCAACATTGTCAAGGTGTCCCTTGGGCTGTGTACCCCTTACCAACACTCCAACCACCCACATGCTGAGTCTCCTACACCGATACCCCAAATGTGTAGCTCTCTTGAGCTCGCAGCCTCATCGGGCGGGGAGAAGCTCCCAGGACAGGGGGACTGATCCCCACCTTGTTCTAAAGGCGGGAGAATTGGCCATTATGGCAGCATCCGGGGAACATACCGTCAAGTTCCTTCTAGCTCAGAAGCCTGTGCCTTACCTTGGTCCTGATGATCCAAAGGAAGGTCTAAGCCTCAGGTGGAACCCAGTGCCATCAGTTTCTGGATGCCTTGTGGTGTCTAGAGAAGCTGAGGGGGCCTGAGGAAGGAAGTATGGAAGGTGTTTTGTGTAATCCTATGAAAGTGTTATTTGTTACTACTATTAATATCTCTATTCTATTCTACTAATATACTCATATGTTAAATATATTACTAACGTGATATAAACATTAACATCATTAATATTTCCAAGAATGATTTTCAAAACCAGCTTTTCCTGACATTTTAAATTACAATACACATCTCTAACACACCTTTGATGTGTACAGTTTTCCCGTAAAGTATATCCAAAATTTCAGCTTCCATAACTTTTCTTTTCCTTTTTTGTTAAGAGTCATTATTCATTTGCTTTTTTCTAGGCAAACATAGAGGGCTCCCCTCTATTAGTTATATAAATAATATATGCTTATTGTAAGAAATAGGGCAACAGTGGCGAAAGGGAGAAGTAGAATCTGTCCCCCACCCCTTCACCTCATTTTCAGCACTAGGAGTAACTACGGCCAACACGTTTGATAGATGCCCTTCCATAACTAATCCTGCGTATACCCAGTCACGTGCATAAATATGTGCATTTATTGTTTGTTCCCACAACAGTGCTGGAATATATGAAGGGGATTAAGAGTATGCTTATCTGGAGGAGCCCTGAGTAATACATGGAATTGTTAAATCACTATATTGTACACCTCAAACTAATGTAACACTGCATGTTAACTACAGTGGAATTAAAAGTTTTTTAACGGAGTTACATTATATATACCTGCTTTTGCACGGCCCCATTTTCCATGGGCATTTTTCACTTTTTTTATTTTTTGGTAAATATAGAACTATCTTGTGTTTTTTGTTTTGTTTTTTTAATATAATGTATTGTCAAATTGGCTTACATACAACACCCAGTGCTCATCCTGATCTCTTGTTGTTTAAATGGCTGTATACTATCTTACTGAATTAATGTAGCATACCATATTTTTAAAGTTTATTTATTTTGTGTGTGTGTGTGTGTGTGTGTGTGAGAGAGAGAGAGAGAGAGAGAATGAGCGGGGGAGGGGTAGAGAGAGAGGGATAGAGAGAGAATCCCAAGTAGGCTTCATGCTTCAGGGCAGATACAAGGCTCAAACTCACGATCTGTGAGATCATGACCTGACCTGAAATCAAGAGTCAGATGCTTAACCGACTGAGCCCCCCAGGCGACCCTGGACCATATGATATTTAATTGCTCTTCGACGTGTGGACGTTGAGGATGCTTCTATTTTTATCACTATTATATAGCGCATACTCTTAAATATATATTTTTATGGTCTCGATATCTCCATAGAATATTATCATCCATCATTGTTTATCACAGGAGATTAGAAGCAACTTACAAGGTTAAACCATACAACGTTAATCCATAAGAGGCAATACTATTCAGTCATCAAACACGATGCCCCAGAAGAAAATGAGACCACGTGGGGAAAATATTCTTGATATGCCATTGAAGGAAAAAGCAAACCTCAGTACAACAGAAAGCCAATTTTGTTCAAATTATATATAGAACAAAAGATTGGAAAGTATAAGCAAAAGTGTATCTTGAATGGTAGATTTACAATATCTTCGGGGTGAAATTCTGAGTAATTTAACATTTACGTTTTTGTGTTTTTCTATACTGACCAAATGTTTTGCATGCCGATGTTGGTATCTGCAAAGTTAGATATAATTTTTTAAAGCTTCCAAGTCATGAGCAGCCTTTAGCTACGCTACACATTGGAAGGAAGCAAAAGAACTAGAGAACCAAGGCATTCCGCTGAGACTGTGGGGGCTCTGTGACCTTAATCAGCCTGTACTGTTCCAGAGGCCATGGCAGCCAACAGGGTTCTGCTCATTTTGCACAGCCCAGCGACTTAAGGTCTGTGTTGATTCCCCCCCCCCCCACCCCCCACAGGTATGTTCTGGATGACCAGTACGTCAGTTCCGTAGGAACAAAATTTCCGGTCAAGTGGTCAGCCCCAGAGGTGTTCCACTACTTCAAGTACAGCAGCAAGTCAGACGTGTGGGCCTTCGGTAAGAATGTGGCCACACAGGCCCCAGCCCCATTTCGTAAACTGGCTTCCACAACAGGAAACCGCAAGCGCAGCAACATCCATTTTTAGCAAAAAGCCCCAGCACTTGTGAAATTACCTGTACGGCCTGAGATAAGCAAGAGATCGAAGGTGATCGAGACCTTTCTCCTTGGGCCGGGGTCAGGATGTCTGCCCCATATCGTAGAAAAATCTCCATCCCGCTAGCACCTTTGTATCAAATCATAGGAGATAAAAGCTCTTCCACTGAAGATTTCTAGCAGTTCTTAAAGAGGAGCCATTGAAAACTAAAACCAGGTTTGCATGGAGTCCAAAACGTGGAAGGTCTTGAAATGTAGCCATCGACTTTACGCGTGAAAGCGGCCATGCCGGCCGTGCCCTTCTGCATCCTCCTACTCTTTGGGCATGCGCGGGGCAAACACCGAACACGACTCGGTGCTTTCTTTGGCCTTTGCTAATTTCAACTAGGGTCCTCGTTAAAATTCATCCTTAGATCGAGGGTCAGCAAACCACGGCCCAGGACCAAATCTGGCGGCCTGTTTCCGTAGATGGACTTCACCGGAGTAAGCCACGCCCATCGGTTCCCCTATTGTCTCTGGGTTTGTACTTGCTCTGTGACCCTTGACAGAAAAGATTTGCTGACCCTTATTTTAGTAAAAGATCTATACTGAAATTTAGTAAAGGTAATTAGAAAACTGAAACAGTTCTTCAGTTGTGATTTGGTAGATTTTCTGGTATCTTTCCGCCTTGTTGGGAGTGTCAGGCCCGTTTACAATTATTGTCAGATGGATCCAGGATAAATAATCCAAACGATCATAAAGTTATTTATGGGTGTATTAAATGCAACTGAGCCCTGTTTCATGTCTGGCTCAGTCCATAGGCATAATCTGACTTTTTATATGACATCCAAAAGACCGCATGAATAACAGAAAATTTCGTTAGCCGTTTATTTTTCCATGTGCCACAAATTTTTAAAATAACTATTACTTTTGTAAAAGTAGTATCGTTCACTTAAAAAAAATAATCCAATGTACACAGAAAAAAGAAAAACTGCAAAGATAGTGTTTTGGTGAATACTTGATATCCTTTGGGGCTGACTACCTTGTGAAAATTAGTTTCAATCTCTTTGTGTCGATATGCTTTATGAAAGATGCTTTTAAAAATCAGTATCCTTACTCAGTAATTACAGCTGATGATTCACCCTGTGCAATACAAGTTGGCTCCAGATATTTTCTGGCTGTTTCCCAAAACTAAATCCATTCTTAAGTAATTTGCCCCCAGTGAGGATATTCAAAATGAACCAGGGCCTCTGAAAGCAATTCCCAAAGAATGGGTCCCACAGATATTTGAAGCAACGGTATTATTTTTGGGATAAGTGACTAGCCTCCCAAAGACAGAACTGTCAAGAGCAGCACACCTTTGGATGGTTGTATTAGAAGGTTAGTTAAAAAAAATAACAGCCACGGCAACTTGTGACATCGCCTTATTGTAAACATTCTACATAAAATCCATAGCCCTAAAAGTGAAAGAAACTTTGAAGTTAGTACTGTGGTTATGGTTCTAGAATAATTTTCTTCCTTCTTCTGTATTTCGGCTTGCCAAGGTTTTGAAGCTGGCTGGCTGCTGAAATTCTCTGGTTTGATCGGGGCGACAGCACCCTGGCCACCATTCGGAGAGCATTTAAAGCATCCTGGTGCACTCTATGTGCTCTGCATTTACTTATTTAAAAAAAATTTTTTTTTGAATGTTTTTGTTTATTTTTGAGACAGAGAGAGACAGAGCCTGAGCAGGGGAGGGGCAGAGAGAGAGGGAGACACAGAATATGAAGCAGGCTCCAGGCTCTGAGCTGTCAGCACAGAGCCCGAAGCGGGGCTCGACCTCACAGACTGTGAGATCATGACCTGAGCCGAAGTCGGACGCCCAACCGACTGAGTCACCCAGGCGCCCCTGTGCTCTGCATTTTTTATCCTATGTCATGCTTACGGCAACTCTGTGATGTACAAATACCCACATATTATAGACAGGGAACCTGATCTGAGAATGGTTAAGAAACTTGCCTGGCCTATAAACGGCAGAATTGAGCCCCACAAGCCACATCTAACGGACCCAAACGCCACCCTCAAACACCATGACCAGAACCCGGTGTTTTAATCTGGGGTCTGCAATGCCCTTGGATGGGCTTCAGTACAATGTGGACACCCAGAAACTGAACACAAGAATGCTGTGCACTCACCTTCCCAAGAGAGAACCAATGGTTTTTATCAGATTCTTAAAAGGACACCTGACCCCCAAAATCTTAGGAACCATCAAGGCAAAAAGGAGGAATTTTGTCCGAGTTTACCTGTGAATTTCCACGGGAAGGTAATTTGCGCAATGAAACCGTCGCACACAACTGCCAAGGCAGAGAGAGAGGGCGGGGACTTCGATCGCTCCTTCTGGTTGGAGCGGGCAGGGAGAGGGGTGTTGTCACAGTGAGGAGGGGACGAGGAGACCCCAGCCACCTCCCTGAAGCGGTCCCAGAATCCTGGCCCGAGTAACTCCCGCTGCAGCTGCCCTTGCCATTGACCCGTTTACTGGCAAGAACAGGCTCCTGGGTCTCAGGGAACCCAGAGAAGGCACCTTGGGCTCCAGAAGTGATGGCACAGTCCCACCCTCCATACCCTGTCCCGTTTCCCAGGGATCCCTCGCTCTGACCTGTGGCCCTCCTGACCCGGTATGTGAGGCCCGTTCGGCAAACTGTACCTTCTGACATCGGTCCTCTTTCCTTTTTGTCTGCTGGACGCCCTTCGTGCGATGCAGGGATCCTGATGTGGGAAGTGTTCAGCCTGGGGAAGCAGCCCTACGACTTGTATGACAACTCCCAGGTGGTCGTGAAGGTCTCCCAGGGCCACAGACTCTACCGTCCCCAACTGGCGTCGGACACCATCTACCAGATCATGTACAGCTGCTGGCACGAGGCAAGTGCATCACGTGGGGCAGAAGGAAGGCGCGTCAGGTGCACCCGGAGCGGCGGCCTGGGACGCCAACCGGGCAAGGCATTTTTGAGGGAGAACGCCTGCCGCAGAGCAGGCGCAATGGCCCCGGGGCCCTTTCCACAAGTGTTTGTAATTTAAAACGAGCAACGTAGCAATGCAGGTGCCAACGATTTAACAACTTCTATCCAGCACTATTCGTAAATATTAACTAATTTATTCATCAGCCAACACGCTATGAAGTAAGCACTACCACGTCCAAAACTAAGGGAAGTGGAAACAGAGACCCAGAGAGGTTAAGTGACTTGCTCGAGGTCACATAGCTAGTAAGAGGCAGGCCGGTTAGCGTCAGAGTCCCTGTTCTTAACCACAACACCGTGGGGTCTCTCCTCACGGAGAGAGGCGGCCAGAAGGACATGGCGTGCTTGGCTATACCGTGTTGGAAGGGATCGGAGTTAGTTGGAAGAATAGGTCGGAGTCAGATCCTGCAGACTGAACAACAGGGAGAGGAGTGTGAGTTTTGCTTTTTATAGGCAATGGAGAGCCAGTGAAGACTTTTGAGAGTGCATAATAATAGGGGACTTCTAAGAATGGTAATCTAAAAATAGCTTGTAGCCATTATCTGGAACTGCCTATTGGCAGAGGGAGCAAATGCTGCATTCGTGTATTCATCCATTCATTTATTCATCTGTTCACTGGTAAAAGGCAGATTGGTGTCATGGTCAAGCATGTGGACTCTGGAGTCGGAATGTCTGGTTGAATAGCTGTGTGACCTTGTATAAGCCTCCTACCATCTCTGTGCTTCACTATAAAATAGCACTTAACTCCTAGGATTATTGTGTGGATTGAACAAGTTAATATTGTGAAGTCCTTAGAACAGTGTCTGTTCTGTTCTGTATTCACAGAACCCCTGTGCACCAAGCACTATACTTGGTGCTAGGAATAAATTGCACAGATTTCTTCATTTCTTGTGTTGGAGCCTAGAGTCCCACATGGGAAGAGTTGCTGTCAGTATCACGTACTAATATTTTCTCACTTAGCCTAACATTCTCTCCTGGGATGTGGGCGCTTCCTGATTTTCCACCCTATGGCACTTGGGATGAAGCTGTCCCACCCCCTCTTCCCCAAGGTGGTGTTTTTGGTGTTGAGAGCCTCGGGCAGCACGAGAGGATCAGGTGGGGTCAGAATAGAGTTAGCAGATGGGGTTTTTGAATTGAAGCTCCGAACCTGTCTGGCCCTTCCCACTCTAGCTCCTGGGAATTGGCCACACCATCGGATGGACAGGAAGCCCTGAGAAGGACTGAAATGCCTTCTTCTCCCAGTTGGTCCGTGAAAGTATAAATTGTGGCAGAGTCCGTGGAGAGGGGTTTGCACCCAGACACTTTCCAGTTGAACGTTCTACATATGGTGACCGCTTTGTGCATTTTGGTCCCCAACTTTTTATATGCTTTATTTCACAATTTTTAGAAGAAGGTTCACAATTTTCATTAGATTCCAATTTATCTTCTCCATATTTCTTTGCACAAAAATGAGCATGTACGTGTGTGTGTGTGTGTGTGTTTCCCTTTCTTTCTTACAAAAAAAGGAGCAAATTCCCTCCGCAGGTGTTACCCCTCTATCCATGTGTCTATTTCCCCACCATCTCACCAACACAGACCATTCTGGATCTGCCAATCTGATAGAGGAGAAATGGCATTTAGTGCAGCTTATAGATTTACATCTTTCATTACAAGGGAGGTACATTTTTAAGGGCATTGGTATATCTTTCTGAGAATTATGTCCTATCTTTTCCCTTTGTTCTGTTAAGCTTTTAGTTTCCCTCATCTTGATTTTAAAGACCCCTTTATAAATGAAAGAGATGAGTACTTCATCTGTGATGTAAATGTTTTCTCCCACTCTGTCACTTACCTTTTGATTTAATTTATGGTGGTTTTGTCATGCAAACTTTTTTTTCTTTAAACACAGTTAATTGTGTCAGTATTTGCTTTTCTTGCTTCTGGAAACTGAGTTAAAGTTACATAGGTTTCTCCACACCCTGGTCATAATGGCATTCACTCAGATTTTCCTCTAGTATTTTGTGGTTTCATTTTTTTACATTTGGATCTCTGATCTAGTTGATGTTTGTTATGGTGTACGGTATAAAGTATGGCTCCAAAGATCTTGTTTTCAAAATGACCACCTGCTTGCTGCACACCATTTATTACAGGACCGTGTCATCCCAGGGATAAGACCATCTAATCGTGTCCAAATATCCCCTAACATAGGAAATCTCTGTATGTATTTGGGGTTATTTGGGGACTTTCTCTTTTGTTCTCCGGTCTCTATTCATGTGCTACCACCGCATTGTTTTAATTATAGAGACTTTATAATACGTTTTACTTCTAGGTAGGCTAGCACGCTGTTGTTGCTGATCTTTTTAAATACCTTTCCTAGCTATTTTTGCATAGCTTTTAAATTTCGTTTAATTTTTTAATTTTTTTAACTTTAATTCCAGTGTAGCTACCGCACACTAGCTACATTAGTTTCAGGTGTTCTTTTTCCACACTTTGAAACTCTATGAACTAGAGAATGAATTTGTCCAGCTTGAAACACGCTTGTTCATATTTTGGAGGAGATGGTATCAGTTTATATTTTTAACTAGGGAAATTTGACATCTCCGTGATACTGATTTGTCCTCTTCAAGAGCAAGCAACATTTTTCTATGTGCTCAGTTCTACATTTGTGTTTTTCAGCAGTGTTTAAAGTTTTCTTCATTTGGGGGGGGTACATTTTTGTCTGTATTTTATTTTGGTGTTGTTGCTGTTATAAGTGGAGTGTTTCTTCCGTTGTGTCTTCTGACTGGTTCCTGTCTTTGTAGATGAAGGCGATTGATTTTGTATGTTAATTTTACATACTGCTCTCCTGAATTCCTTTCATTTGAGTTGGTTCGATGATTGATTCTCTTGGCTTTTCCAGGCATACAATTGTATCTTATGCAAATGAAGATATTTTTACTGTTTCTTTTTCAATTCTTAGGGCTCTAGTTATTTTGTCTTTAGGAGAAATGTCCATAGCGTTTCCACAATTAAAAAGTCACTAGCTTTACAGGGTGCCTGGGTGGCTTAGTCGATTAAGTGTCTGACTTCGGCTCAGGTCATGATCTCACATTTGTGAGTTCGAGCCTCGCATCGGGCTCTGAGCTGTCAGCACAGTCTGGAGCCTGTTTCAGATTCTGTGTCTCCCTCTCACTCTCTGCCCCTCCCCCGCTCACGTTCTGTCTCTTTCTCTCTCTCAAAAATAATAAAATAAACACTTAAAAAAGTCACTAGCTTTAGGACTGAGATATTCATATCTTATATGTATTAATGTTTATTTACTTATTTTGAGAGAGACAGAGAGACAGACAGAATCCCCAGCAGGCCCCATGCTGTCCGTGCAGGGCCAATGCCAGGCTCGATCTCACAAACTGTGAGATCATGACCTGAGCTGATATCAAGAGTCGGACACTTAACTGACTGAGCCACTTAGGCGCCCCTTATATATTTTATTTTTAATCATAACTTTTATAAACTAAGCCATTGGGGTTTTCTTTTATTTAGCTTCCAGAAAAGCGCCCCACATTTCAGCAACTCCTATCTTCCATTGAACCACTGCGGGAAAAAGACAAGCCTTGAAGAAGAAATCGGGAGATCTCATGAGAATGAATGTAAACGCTGGCCAACATCTTCATTCTTTTTAAGGAAAGTAGCAAGGCACAGACAATGTAATTTAGCTAGTTCTTCTTAATAGTCTTCTGCATGCTGTTTGTTATATTATGTAGAAATGAACAAGGTAAAAAAAAAAACAAAAGATTTCCTTGAAATTTAGGTCAAATTAGTAATTTTGTGTATGCTGATCTTAATATTACACTTCCCAGACTATAGCCGAAGCACATTTTCTGATCGTGATATAGACAGTGCGGACCATGTGTAAAGATGGAACAGAATTGACAAATTCTTTGTTGGATATTTGTTCTTTTCCTTATATTGTCACTGTCATAATTAAATGTTACTAATGAGTACCAAAATGTGGACATTTGCCTTCATGTTTCAATGCTGTCAAACTTTAGCATGTCTGAGAATCAAATGAACAGTTTATTAAAACACAGATTCCTTAGGAACTACCGCAGAGATTCTGGTAGAGCAACTCTGAGGGCAGTCTAAGAATTTGTATTGTTAACAACCTTGCAGATGTTCCTGTGCAGTGGGGCATCATTAGGTGGTCCATAATTCAACCCAAGTGACCCAACCCTCCTCTGATTTCCAGATTAGATCACTGATTCCTTGTGTCATGTATATATACCATGCAAATATAAAACTAAAATAATATATTCAAGAATACATTAAATGCATTTCCACGAAGAGCAAATTTTAAAAGGTGCTAAGGTAAATATGATGCCTTTTTCCTTAACCTTAATCCTTATCGATTTTGATTCCCTGTAACCATGGTCTTATTTCTAGAAGTAAATGTTGCCTTCTAATAATTTTAAATCCTTGGATTTGGGGCTCTGGGGCTTCTGGCTAGTTTGGTAACTGAAATGTCTATTTCAGTCTCCTATCTCGACACAAAGAACAGAAACACTATTTCAGTTTCTCATGGCAATTGCCAAAAGGTACTTCTGCTTTAAAACTATTCTGGATGGGGGGAAGTGGGGGGGGGCACCTGGTTGGCTCAGTTAAGCGTCTGACTCTTGATTTCAGCTCAGGTCATGATCTCATGGTTCGTGAGTTCAAGCCCTGCATAGGGCTCTTCACTGACAGCATGGAGCCTGCTTGGGATTCTGTCTACCTCTTTCTCTGCCCCCTCTCCCACTTGCTCTCTCTCTGTCTCTCAAAATAAATAAACAGATAAATAAATAAAACTATTCCTGGGACTCCCCTCCTTCAAGGCTTCCTGCTGAACCCATAGGTTTTCATCTCTCTTGAACTATGTCACTGTCTTTTCTGTAACGTCAAGGAGGGTTATGTGGAGGCACAATTACGATGAAAAGACATCCTAATTAAACCCTGCTACTATTCTCCAGATGTAGATTAGCCATCTCCCTTAAGAGACACTCATATTCTTTCTCATCCCACTGACTCCATCACCTCCCAGCTCCTTCCAATGATCCCTCTTGGTTGTCTCTTTGCATGTAAATACTGCTTCCTGTATTTTCAGAAGAATCGACTTTTGATAGCCGCTTTCTATTATTTCACAGAGGTGCACAAATCTCAATTTATAATGAGATGGAACTTTAACAATAACCACTAGGGCATTTATACATTCAGCGAACATTTCTTTTTTTTTTTTTTAATTTTTTTCAACATTTATTTATTTTTGGGACAGAGAGAGACAGAGCATGAATGGGGGAGGGGCAGAGAGAGAGGGAGACACAGAATCGGAAACAGGCTCCAGGCTCTGAGCCATCAGCCCAGAGCTTGACGCGGGGCTCGAACTCACGGACCGCGAGATCATGACCTGGCTGAAGTCGGACGCTTAACCGACTGCGCCACCCAGGCGCCCCTCAGCGAACATTTCTTTAGCAGGTACCGAGTGACAGATTCTTTCCTGCTCAAGGGAAAAGAAGGAACAACACCATCCATGTTCCTCAACGGGCCCTCTTGAAGGCTGTTTTCCTTTCTTTTCCTTATGTTTATGTGTTTGGGTTTTTAAAAACAATCCTTTTTATAACAAAAGTAATATATGCTTATTGCAAAAACTCAAACAATACAGAATCATCTACCATGAAAAGAGCCAAAGCCTTGCTCAGAAGCCTGGCTCCAAAAACTAAGGGAAGCAAGATATGGAGATATCAGTAGAGGTTTGTAAGAAAATAACCCCAGTGATGCTAGAAGGGGCCAAGTAGAGGAAGAATACTCATACCCCAGAAAACATACATCATCTTGAAAATGCTATTTAACCGTGTTTACTGGTGATAGCTAGCATTTACTGTTGGTGTTTTAAACCATGCCTACATGCTCTTGGAAGTGAAGAGAAGGTCATCCCCCCTTGACTTGGCTCACTGACCCACCCTAACCGTTATCTCCATAGAATTTGTTAAATAAAAAGTTACTCTAACATTATGCCGGCCACCACAGGCAGTGAGGTGATGGGTAGAGTTTGGATATTTTAATCTCTTTTGAATCAGTCTTCAGGTATGTAGAGGATGGTGTGCTCAGAATGGGGCTGGGCTCTGAGATAAAGAAAAGGAGTGGTAGGCTTGGTTCCTAACCTGATGGTATAAACCATCTTAACACGCCTCTTTCTAGACAGATCTGATAGCTGGTTTGTACAATAAAGCAATTTAAGAAACTGGGACACATTCCAAGACATTTGAGAGGTCAAGCCTTCCCAGGGAGTCAGACAGCAACTTTGTCCATGGAAATGAAAAGCAGACCAAATCCACAGAAGCCCTAGCACATATGGACACGTCAGACTACAGGAGTGTGGATCTAGTAAGTATTTATTGATTGTCTGCTTTGTGCTCAGTACCACTCAGACACTGGGTGAATGTAAGATTGAAGACGTTGGGTACCCACTTCAGAGGGTGACATTCACCTGAGATGTCTAGTCACTCCACAGGGAACGACAGAAGTGAGTTTCTATCAGGTGTGCTCTGGGGGAGGGGGGGGCTCCTGGAGGCCCCTGGGGCTAGTTTTCTGTTGTCAGGGAGATGAGTAAGCCTCTTGGAAGTGAGAAGGCAACATGTGTAAACAGCCGGATTCTTCTCTTCTTTAGACATGGCAACCCGAAGAACACGTGGTCTAGTCCAATCATCACTGTGGGCAAATCACTACAGTACTTAGATTAAGTTAACGTGAAAAGAGCGTGTCAGCCTTTATACTTGAAATAAAGTGAGCAGTGTGTGCCGTTCTGGATCCCTGCCGCTCCGCCAGTTTGCGGACACTGTCCTGAAAAGCGATCCATCCAGATTCCATACAAGGCCCCAACACTTGCTCCCTCCCGTACAGCCTCCCGTGCAGAAATTCCAGCCGTGCAACAGACATTCCCACATCCATTACCCCCAAACAGCCACCGAGGCCAAAGACCCCTTTTTTCTATTACTCTCAAATATAAACAGAAGTCAAATCCTGAGGCAGAAATAAATACTGAAAGCAAGTGAAGATGCCCTCTCTTCAGGCCTGTCTCCTTGGGACAACCTTTCCTGAACAGAGCCATGGTTTTGATATTTAATGACATCTTTATAATCTCATATTGTCAGTGCCGTAAAATCAACATTTACATACAATGAAATCACCTCAAGAGGAAATAGATTTTCCTAAAATGAAGTCTGAACATCATCAGCATGTTGGAATCCTGGATTATTTTCTCCTTTACTCAAGTCCACGGAGGCGTAAGGATTTTCTTCACTTCTTGCTTGATTGTTCCTGTTAAATAAAGTGTAGTCAGTCACCTTAGTATAGTGATGTTGGAATGACACCGCCTCCCTTGGACCCCACTGCGCCCAGGCATCTTTGACACTTCAACATCGAATGGCTCGTTGGTGAATCAGTCCCCTCCTGACGGGCTGTGAACACCTAGAGAGCATTAGATTCATTCCCTTTGCCCCACGATCGGTTGGCATGATGGCTGGCAGAGTGTGGGAGACCGCTGAGGGTTCGTGCTCTGGAGTCACAGAGAATGAGCCTCCGTACCTCAGTTTGCCTACTTAGAAAACGATGGCAAGCAGGCAAAGTCAACAAAGTAGGGCTAGCACAGTGCCCACAGTACCTGGCATACAGTCCTCAACAAATAGAAACCATTATTATTATTTGTACAAAGTGGTTGTTTAGCCAATTGCCCCATTTTAAATGGCTTCCCTACTAAATTATCAACTTCCAAATCGGCGGGCAGCTCTGTGGCCCAACAAACAGCTTTGGAAGCTGGGTGTATATCCTAATGTGTTACTGACTAACCGTGTAGATTTGAATTACTTGGTCTCTCTGAATCCCAGTTTGATATGTACATGAAGATAATTAGATAATTACATATTTACGTCCTACATTTGCTGAGAATATTAATGCATGAAGAGTACTGAGCAGGGTAACCAGTCCTATTTTTCAGGATACCTTCTAGTAACACAGCACATGGCATGAAGGAGGGTCCCCAAATAATTGATTTAATGAATTAACTTTGGAATAGCATCTCACATGCAAAGAATGCTTCTCAAACCATAACGTGCATACAAATCACCTGGGGTGAGGTCTTACTAAAAATGCAGATTCTTCCCACAGCAGGTCTCCTAGAAACCAATAATTGTCTTTGGCTTTGGGAAGGGAACTGGAAGGCAAAAGGTGACAGGAAGATTCTGTGTATCCTTCCGTATTTTTAAAATTCTAACCTTATGAATGTATTCTATTTGATGCTTAATTTTTTTTAACTGAAGCTATTTTAGGGAACTAAATTCTCTACAGAGAAGAATTGAGCAAAACAGACCAATGCATGTAAAAATTCTGTCATGAGCATGTGTCAGCAGCCTGAAGTGTGCACAGAGTTTTGTTAGGTACTATAAAGTATTATTAACCTTAATTACATAAGCCCAACGGAAGTGATTTCTCAACATCAGAAAAAAAACATCTAGTGGCAGAACAAGACTGTAAATTGGGTCTTTAACAGTTTGAATCCTCAATGAACTTGGATCTTCAACTCAGGAACAAATTAGAAGGTGCGTGGCCCATGGACTAAGGGATTAAAGGGTGGGAGTTTGAAGCACATCTCACAGCTCATTCTTGAATGATTTCACCATTCAAACCATCACTGAGTCAGTCTCTGAGGTCACTTCTAGACCAAGGAAGACTATGAGAGAGAATAATTCCCTGAGCCTGCCCAGCCCCGCTGGGTCTGCAGGGCCTCTTGGCAGTAAGGAGACGAGGCTGTGACCAGGATGGAGTTTACCAGGCCATGCTAGGAAACCCCAGGCTGAACATCACCTGCGTGTCGGTGCTTGCTAGGAAGGCCAAGTGGTGATGAAATCTGGTAAATTTCTAGGGGATGCATCAGAATATTTAGGCGCAAAATGGTCCAAATAAGCAATTGGCTTGTACAACCTACCACTTACTGCACATTTTCCCATTAGTTTTCCCTAAACCTTTCTGTTTTAAGATAGGTAAGTCTAGGAAAGGTCACTTACTTCCTTCGATTTCTGATCCCGGAGACGATGAGCAGGACAATACCAACCACTACCACACCCATCACGACCCCAAAAACAATCAGCCATATGGTGACAGGTGGCTGGTAAGGGGGTGACAGAGTTGGCTGAATACCCAGAAACTCCAGGCTGTTGTCATCCAGGCGGAAAGCATCATTGATACGGCTCCGGGACATCCTATTCCCAAAAGCAAAACACTTAGGCAAAACAAAATTGTAATTGTTTACTTCTTATATCATTTTTCCTGAAAGGATTTGATAGGCTTACCCTAAGAATGTACACCTAGAAGAGTGATGAAATCAAAGCAGATAACCGGCTCCAACGACAGATAAGAGATCTGACAATCATGCACCTTTCCTATCTTGCAGCCTAGATTAGGTCTGGCAACAGCTTCTTTGGGTTGTGAGTGTGGAAACGTGCAACTGGCTGGCATTTGTTGATTTGTGACTGCTGTGTTGTAAAAGCAAAGTCAGCATATTTGGCGAGAATTTCCCTTCTGTCAGAGTATGTCTACGATGACTTTATATCAAATAATGGAAAAGGACAATTGGGCGCATCTCTTCTACAAATCAGTCGGGTCCTATACCCAAGTCTCGACTGTTGTGTTTTCCAAATTAAAGGTGTTGACCTTTGGAGGCAGGGGAGGAACACAGGAAAGGGGCCTTCGCCAATTTCTCCAGCACTGGGATGGGATATGGCTAAGTTTTATAGAGCAAAAAAGGATGAAGAATTATTTTAAAAACCAAAACTAGTGAACTTGAGAATATTCTGGATTGAAAACCAAAGTGTCTGGCAGCCCGTCCTCCTACTCTTGGGTGCAGTGCAGGTCAGGAGGTGAGAGGGAGAGTGGTCAAAGCAGAATGAGCCATGTAACCCCAGGCAACCTCAGCCTGAAAGTCTCAAGTCATTCTGGAAATAGGAAATTTGAGCTCCCCTACAGCTCACAAGGAGGGCTGGGCTCTCAGGATGACCTCAGCTGGCACTTTTCCCCAAGACAGAAACAAGTCATTCGGAGGCAGGCTGTGAAGTCTCTGGGCGTGGTTGGGCCGTACACCCCAGCTAGGCCAGATTTTTCAGGCACACTGTGCCCAGCAGGTCTTGGAGTTGCTTCCAAAGATGAGCAGCAGCTCAAGGGGGCCACCTAGCGAGCTCCCCCACAGAAGTAGGTACCTTAGCCTTTTTTTTTAGTGACACAGATGAGGCACATGGGGCATATCGTTCCTTCTAGACGCTCAGCGCCCATAGCAAGTCCATCTCCTAGTGTGGAGGCTAACCGATGCCTAAGGAATCTTATTCTTGCCTACCTTCTTTCAGACTCGGCCTACTTAAATGATTCCTTCATCCAAGTTCCTATAGCAAGTGATGGCAATATGTGTCCGTGTCCCTTCTGCACTTCACCATGTTCCATGCATGCAGGCCGGACTTTCTTCAGCCAGTACCTGTGGCCTTTGCCCGAGAGCATTCTCAGGCCACAACGTACTGCCCGGCCCGCAGGCCAGAAATGCTGAGGAGTCATGTCACCTGTAAGCAGTTCTCTTAACCAACGACCGGGGGAAGGTGGTAAATAAATACCCCAGCGCTGGTGGGACGATTCAGGTGTACACTCTGCTCGGTCTCCCAGAATTCCCCGGCAGAATGGAGCTTGAGCTGCCCACAGTGGCCACTTGCTCAATAACATGTCATTTATTCTTTTCCTTCCATGCTCTGTCACCTGTGCACGCTTCTTTCTCAGAGCTTCCAGAGGTCACCTCCCAAATAAACTAGTTACACGCAAATGCTGCTGAAGGGCCCCCATCAAGAGAAGTCCCTAGCTGTGCGATCCTTCTGGAATTAACCCCCAAGATTTGAAGCTCGACACGAGTCAGAGCAGCGCCTGGCACACAGTAAGAGCACACTAACCCACTCGCTATTGTTGTGCTCACACTTGTTAGCCCCTCGCCCTCAGGTAGTTTGTCGGCAAGTAAAGTCACCTGATGGCCTCTTCGACTTCACTTCTAGGAATGACGTCAGACACATTTTTCGATGCAGTGACAAAGAAGTTGAAGGAGATCCTTGGTTTCAAATTGCTCACCCACACGTTATCCTCCCTGTGGAGAAACAAAAGAAACATCTTCCCTTGTGGCCCAGAGGACACAATACAGACAATGGGGGCTTCTCCTGCCGGTGAACACTGCCCAAGGCACATGAACTCCATGACATAAGTTGTGACAACACAGTCTAGGCACTATTCTGACACCGTCCCTGAGCTGAATTTTCTTTCAATGATAGAAAACGTTCAAGCTGAAAAGCGGCAGGTGAGCCAGTCCGGACGGACGGGCAACCTGGGCCTGTGATAAACACCGTGGTGAACAGCGATGGCTCAGCACCGTGAACGGAGGCGGTGCGTCTGTGTCCTCTGGCCTGCTCCGCGCAGCAAAACCTCTCCCACTACATGAACCGCTGGGGGGAACGACTGGGCTTTATAGTACAGCGTGACAAGACTGTGCCCCCCCCCCCACCGGCTGCCACGGTGGTCCCGGCAAAGCCTAAGGCAGATCTTGTGGCTCTGAGCCCTTCTCACTCAGAAAAAAGCCAAAGTCCTTGGAATGGCCTATGAGGCCCACGCGAACTTTCTTCTCCCTTTCCCTGTGCCCGCTCCTGCCCTGGCCACACCTTCGACTGGTCTTCTATTAGCTCACTGCCCCAGCCCCACTGGCCTCCTTGCTGTTCCTTCAACAGACGAGGATATTCGTTCCTCAGAATCTTCCCACCCGCTATTTTCACCATTGTCTGCATCGCAGGTGCTCTCTTTGCCGTAGGTGTTCGCTCAAATACTAACGAGGCCTTTTCTGACCATTGCAGGTAAAGCTGAACTCTAGATACACACACACCAGCACTCCCTAGCCCCCGGTGTGTTGTAGTTTTCTCCCTGGAGCTTGTCACTGTCTAAGTGTGCTATATTTCACCTACATGTTTTGCTGATTGTTTAACACACACAGAAAACATAAGCGTTAGAATCCAAGTTCAATGAAAGTAGAGATGTCCACCTTTCTTTCAGTGCTGAGGGTGGAGGGACCGTTTGGTGAATGGAAAGGGAAAGGAAAGGTGGAGAGAGCAAGGGAGGGGAGGAGGAAAGAGAACAGTGCACTTGCGATCTGTAAGTCAAGTAAGTCACAATCATCCCTGAATAGAGTGGCCCAAATTCCAGGACATCGGAGAAGTTGCAAAGTTGTTAGTTATTAATTTTACTTGAATGAAGGTTTAAGCATAATATCATCTCAGACCCAAGAGAAAGACAAGTACTGGAGTAACTTGAGAGCACAGCAAATCAACTCACACAAAAGGAATCATCTGGTTTTTGACTTTGGAAAAATATTCTCTCATGGCGTATGCAACAGATGACCGGAACAAGTACATTTCATTGTCATTCCATTCATACTGCAAATTCAAAAGAAAAACACTGCTCAGTAGGGATCATAGGATACATTCAAAACTTGACATTCCAGAAGCATTATTTTTAAGATTTTTTTAATGTTTATTTATTTTTGAGAGACAGAACGTGAGTGGGGGAGGAGAAGAGAGAGAGGGAGACACAGAATCCAAAGCAGCCTCCATCCAGGCTCTGAGCTGTCAGCACAGAGCCCGATGCGGGGCTCGAACTCACGAACCGCGAGATCATGAACCGAGCCAAGTCGGACGCTTAACCGACTAAGCCACCCAGGCACCCCCAAAAGCATCATTTTTAAATTTTCTACCACTCCAGAGAATCTTGCTATTCATTAAGCCAGTGACCTCGAACTTGTGTGTGCACCGGCACCACCTGGAAGGCTTGTGAAACCACTGAAAACTACTTAAACCACCGAATAGTGGGCCCTGCCCTCTGGGTTTCTACTTCAGAAAGTCCGGGAGGAGACCCACGAATTTGCATCTCTAACAAGCTCCCAGGTTCTGCTAATGTTGCTGGTCTGGTGCCCGCGTGCTTCAAGGACTACGTTCATGGATCCTTTTACTTCAGTTTGATAGAAGCTGAAATAAACATCCTGAGGGCAGGTTTATAGATGGGAGTCATGAGAGTTGTGGGCTTTGATAAATATCCATGTATTGTACACCTGAAACTAATATAACACTGTATGTTAATTATACCTGAAATAAAAAATAAATTTGGGGCGCCTGGATGGCACAGTCGGTTAAGCATCTGGCTCTTAACTTCAGCTCAGGTCATGATCGCGTGGTTCGTGGGTCCAGCCCCAACCCGTGCTCTATGCTAACAGCTGCCGAGACCGCTTGGGATTCTCTCTCCCTCCCTCTCTCTCTGCCCCTCCCCTCCTCGTGCTCTCTCAAAATAAATAAACTTAAAAATTTTTTTAAAGTTTTTTTAAAGAAATAAAAAAATAAATTTAAAAGAGAAAAAATATTGGGC